GACAGGACGTTGCTGTTGTAAAAGCGCATCTTGGTCTTGAGGGACAGTTTCTTGTTTCTCCAGAGTTTGCCCAGCTGGTTAAATGCTGCTGAAGCCTTACCAACTCTGCAGTCAAGTTCTTTGTCCATGTCACCATTGCTATTGATGGAGCTTCCAAGATAAGTGAAGTTTTGAACTATTTCCACTTCCTTCCCATCAATGAACACAGATGTAGGTGGCGGATGAGATCCTGTCAGCATATTCTTGGTCATGTTACCACCATGGTGATTTTATAGTATTACCTTGGTCTTTAAACCCATCAGCCATAACTTAGCCACCGAAAAACTGATATATTATATTGTCGGAGACAGCAAACCCTTATGTATAATTAAGAAAATTTTACTGTAAAAATCCTAACTAGTGCAAGTCATAGCGAGAGCACTGACAGAGTGCATGGAAGGTAAATCTCTTCAAACTCAAGCGCCACTCTCAAGGTGGAAGGACACCCAGATCTAAGTCTCAGGCCCAAAATCAATTTTCAATCAAAACATGCCACTTTTAACGCTTAACTTTCAGCCACTGCATCCTGAGAAATGTGAACTCAAACATGAAACATCGAGCCCCTTTCTTCACTTTTTTTACTGTGAACCACTGACCCTTGTTTTGGAACACCCCCCCCCCTGTGTGCACCATGAAGAACAGCAAGAAATTCGTGTAGATCATAAGGCCACACCAATTGAATTTGTTGGTCAACGGATTCACCTGCTTAACTTTTTCCTGATTTGCAAAAAAATAAATAATTCAGAATCAACTGCAAAATGCTCATATTTTGCCCTGAACAGTTGAACACAGTCCTTTTCTTCCTAGTTGTTACAGTTATTCCATATTTTAATGCAGTTGTATCATTAAAAGTTCAAAATTAATTGATTAAATTTTGAACCGGCCTGGTGCGTTAACTTCATGGCTCCTATCTTACCATTTTGGGCCATAATAGGATAACTATTTTGTTTTAATTTTTTTTCGCCCGCCCGCTCCATTATTTTTCTAGAAATATCCAGTAACTAAGAAATTAAATTTGCGTGGTTTAATGAAAAAAAAAACATTACCGAGACTGGAGATTCGGTTGGCACCCAGATTGAGTAGTTTCAGCGATGGTAGACCTCGGAACGCCTCCGGCTGAATCACAGAAACATTTGACTTTTGGATGTACAGCTTTCGCAGCTTTGAGAGGTTTGGGAAATCCATGATTGTAGAGGAACGAAGGTGTTTGATGTAGATTATTTCAGTTGTGTCGGCGAAGCCTGTTGGTAGGGTATCCAGGCATTTTTGGAAGCTGTGCACAACCCCTCCAGGTCCAACCCAGCTGCAAGGAGAACCCGTCCCATGTTTGGGAGGACAGGAACAATAAATCACTGTCCAGAACTGAACTGATGGTTTGACTGTCGTGCATCTCTTTGGGCACATAGCATGCGCAGCTTGCACTGTGACTGGGTTCAGAAAAAATAGGTGAGTGGAGGCCAGAAGGAACAACAACGGTGCCTTGCTTCGCAGCATCATGAAAATTGGTCTCTGTCTCACTGAATTTCGCTGTGTGTTATAACATGGCATAATAACATTTGCAACAGTCATGCACACGTGTCTACCTGGTACATGAATAGTAGTTATGCTATGTATAAGCATGATGCAACTGTCAATGTTGCAAATTAACTTTTAGACCCCCTCTACCATTTTCAATCATTATGACTGACATGTGCGTCAGTAATTTCATGTCTCATTTCATTAAGGTTTACTTGATACATTGAATTTCACAGTTGTTTGCCTAGGCCACACCAATATATTTTGTTTAATTTTTTTTCGCCTGTTGCTTCAATTTTTTTCTGAAAAAAAATCGAAGAACCAACAAATTAAATTGGTGTGATGAAACTGCCAAAATTGCATTTTCATCATCTGATAAAGCTATACACGTGTGTAGAGGAATAACTACGCTTTAAAAAAAGCAGGAAAAGTGGAAATTGGCCAAATTTACAGATAATTGGCCAGGAGAGTTGGTCTGCTGATTGAGTACATTTCCCACTGTAGTCTCAAGAGTAAGATAGAAACGTATAGTACACAGTAACACAATTAAAATTCTGCAGCAGAATTGTGCCAGACTTTTTTTTTACTACAAACACACTCAAGGTGTATTTTTTTTAAATATTTTCTTGTTATTTTGGTCATTACCAAAGGGGAGTAAATGTATTATTATTATCTGGCCAAAATAAACAAGATTCCTACATTTTCAAATGTTCACTTAACCATGAAGAAATGATACCAGCTCCTATATTTTACGAACTTTAATGCCTTGCTATTACAACATCCATTTTTTACTGAAACAATTTTGAAAAAAAAGTTTTCAATCATTATACATTCAAATTTTCTTATTCAGTGGGAACATCATTGTATTAAAGTAAAAGTCAAAACAATAAATCAGAGACTTGTCTTGCCTACTCTCTACATATTCATGTAAACTTATTTAGTTAAGAATAGATAGACGACAAGCAACATGTCAAACTAGAGTTCCACGATATAATACCTTCGGCGAATGATTTTAACCTTTCAGTAATACATCTCAGGGAATTCTGAAGTAGCGAAGCCAGAGAAACATTTTCTAACGACCCACTATCGTGCCAAAATATACCTTTTACCATGTTTAACCAATATATTTGCGAAGATCACTGAAAGAATGCAAAAAAAAAAGGAATATGAATTTGAAAGAAACAAAATGGGGTCCAAATGGACCCCGTTCGGTCATTTCCATCACAAAAAAGTTCGGGTGTTTGAGGGTTAATATTTTGCAGTTTGCCAAGTAACCTCAACCTCAGGAATTATGTCATCAGGTTTTCAGAGGTTATGGCCTTTGACAATGTTATGTCAAAGGTCAACACCAGGTTCATGCCTGTAGGCCTCATCCTATTTTTTGCATAAATTATGATAATGAGCTGGGGTTTTTTACTCTTAATCATGCCAAAATATACCTCTTACTATGTTTAAGCAATATATGTGCAAAGATCACTAAAGGAATGCAAAAATGTCAAATACTTTACCAACAGGGTGGTGCAATTCATAAAAGTCAGACAGCTATCTTCAAGGTAGAATTAATATGTTTTTAATGATTGCCATGTAAAAAGTTAAGGTTTTTTATGCGTTATGCGACGTGTAATCCCCTCTGTTTTTAAATGATTAATGCTGTAAGTTAAGTGTAAACATGTTGTAAGTTAAGTGTAAATATGTAGGATTGTGTCTGTAATTGTGATGTTACATGTATTTGTATTGGAACCCTGGAAGAATAGCCCAAAATGGGCTAAAGGGTATCTCAATAAACTGAAACTGAAACTAAAGGAGTATAACTTTGAAGGAAACCAAATGGGGTCCATTTGGACCCCGTTCGGTCATTTTCGTCAAAAAAAAGGTCGGGTGTTTGAGGGTTAAGAAAGCCGCTAGGGGGCCTCACACTGCTTTCTCCTCAATAATAAATACTGACCATTACACAGAATTTGAACTAAGGCCATGTTGATTTGATTATATGGATGACATCCGCGCGCGCATGAATTTTCGGCCGTTTCCAAAAAAAAAAGGTTTTCAACCATACTGTAAATCGTGCAAAACAGTTGCTAAATGAGCAAAAATATACTATAAGTTGCAAGGAAAACATTTAGAAACGATACCAATGTCGTAGAATGCCAAAATCAAAGGAAAAAAGACAAAAATGAATTCGAAGAGTAGATTATTTGCCATAACATATTCTGTGCCATTTGTTCAACCTTCATGACCACGTAGATTTCATAGTGAAAGCAACTTTTTTTTTTGCAAAACTTTTTTTTATTCGCACGCGCGTATTAGTTTTGGGGTTCCCAGAGGATGTCATCCATATAATCAAATCAACATGGCCTAAATACTTAAAACTCAAATCTGCAGTACAATGCATAGCCGCCAAGCCGTCCATTATCAAACTAGACCCACCATTTGCTTCACTGTCAAAGTAAATGTTATCTCGATCCATACACTACCAAAACTAATTAATATTCATCCATAGCTTCAGAAGTTATGCCGCCTACTTTCACAGTCACTACCTCATAGCCAAACCGAAAACATTATCTTCTGGCGAATGGAATTAGCAAGCAAATACTTGATATTCCACTTCCAATACCTGTGACGAAACTTCCAGTTACCAAGCCGGTATTCAATAGGCAATACACTACATGTAGGTAGTAGCCAGCAGGCTGTATTCTACCAGCTTCGGCTACTTATTGGAGGAGTCACGGCTTGTCACGGTTAAGGTTTGTCGACTTGTTGGTGTCCTCTGTCAAACGTCATCTGCATCGATAGGTACGTATACGCATGCAGATTGTGGTGCCTTTCAGATTAAGTTGCTTTTTACCTCATCAAAATCTTTTTTAATAAACTGTAAATGAAAAAAGGAGAGCAATTTATGAAATATTTCGACGTCTACTTCGTGTAAAATGATTCTCTAAATTATTCATTGCTCAACTTAAAAATGTACAGGACACAGCAAACAATTATAGAGGCTCCTAATTTAAACATTGAAATTATCACCATTATAATAATCATTAACTTCTTTCTGCAGTAGAGGTGTTTAAATACATTTTTCTGATGCTGGTGGTTTGGTGTACTAAGATGTCAGAAGGCTTAATTTGTTCAAGTAAAGTATAATGCCCAACGCAGTAAATTTACATAAATTACAAACAAAAATCACCTGTGGCTCATTAAAACCACCGCTGGTTCGCTAGATACAATAGGTTTTAGTACTATCATGAATGTTCATCTGTGTTGGTAGTTACATGTACATGTTAAAGTTAAAACTTTTAGTCCAACACAAGAAAATTCTCTGAGGAAGACCAGAGTGACTGGTCGAAAGCTCTAGGTGAGAAAATTTTCTTGTGTTGGACTAAAAGTTTTAACTTTAAACAGGTTTTAGTACTGTTCACGATGTCATTTTACCAGCAATGATCGTAAAGAACATTTTAAACACCTTCACTTAGCTGGCAGATGAATCCCCTGCGGAAGTTGCAGTCTTGCTCACTCCAGGAGGATCCACGGGACCAAAATCCAGCGCAGCCGCCGCGGGGGTTGGGCGGCTTCGGCTCACCGGGGCGCCAGTTGGCATACCCGGATGACTCCAGGGTTTGGCCGTCTTCAAACACCCAATGGCCGTCCTTGTTGGCGTCAGTCAGACCAATCCAGCGACTCTTTACAACCTTTGCTAGGTTAGCGAGGAAAGTATTGGTCGGGCTGTTCTTCGGCATGGCAAGAGTTCCCCCGTCTGCTGCACAAGCCTGTACAGCCTCACCACGTGTCTTTCTTTCAGTAAAGCTTTTGTAGCGAGCTCCGTTAAATCTAACGTAGCCGGCTTTTGGATAGCCTGTTAAAAGAAGAGCATTCTAACTTATTAATGATTCTGTGTTCAAGTACTAACACGTAAGGACATACTGTAGTAGAAGTATTAACGTTCATTCAAGGCACAATTTTAACAACGGAATTATGACACAGGCATTGTACTATATATTGTTAACATTGCTAGTTATTGCCAATCACTCCTCTTTGTCTAACAATTTATCCCTCTCTCCCTTTGACTCTACAGTACTGATTGGACTACCGACACACCAACAAGAAGACAAATATACAAAAACAAAACGTCCACACATTTCTTAAGGTGTAGGGTAGAAAATGTAATCAAAACTCTAGTAGTTATAAGAAGGATTCGGGCGACTGATTTATTGTGAAATGAAATTATGTAAGCATGAGATTTTAATAAAACGGCTCTTACCCACAAAAACAAAGATCAGTCAACTAGCTAAGTAAGCACATATTTGATTCAAAATGTCTTATCAAATACAATTACATACAAAAGGCACGCTGACAGCTTTGCAAGATAAGGACATTAAATGGCTTACCTTTGTTTGAGCCATGTCGGTCAGATGTTTTGAAATGCTTGAAAGGCTGAACCGATCCCGTTGGTCCATTTCCTCCCGTTGGTCCAGATGCAGTTACCCCTGCACCACCACCTATCCCCATGGATCCCTTTTGTCCTGAGGTCCCACAAGGTCTAGTAGACCCAGGTAACCCAGCCTGACCCTTCATTTCGCCTGGGGTATTTTCTGCAGGTAACCCAGCCTGGTCACCCATTCCCACAGAGCAATTTTCTGTAGCAGACTCAGTAGACCCAGGTAACCCAGCCTGGCCATCTATTCCCACAGAGCAATTTTCTTTAGCAGACTCAGTAGACCCATGTAACCCAGCCTGGTCACCCATTCCCACAGAGCAATTTTCTGTAGCAGACTCAGTAGACCCATGTAACCCAGCCTGGTCACCCATTCCCACAGAGCAATTTTCTGTAGCAGACTCAGTAGACCCAGGTAACCCAGCCTGGCCATCTATTCCCACAGAGCAATTTTCTGTAGCAGACTCAGTAGACCCATGTAACCCAGCCTGGCCATTTATTCCCATAGAAATATTTTTGTCAGGAGATGCAGTAGACCCAACTAACCCAGCCTTGCAATCCACTGCCACAGAGCCATTTTCTCCAAGAGACCCATTAAACCCATTCAACCCAGCGAGGCTATCCATCGTCACATTTTCCTTTTCTCCTGATGGCAGAGCTGAAGCATTTAATCCAACTTTTGCAGACATCCTTACAGACCCCCCTTCTTTCATAGGTTCAATAGACCCAGGTTGACCATCCATTTTCTCTGAAAGCTTTGACACCTTCTCCGAGAGATATGTCACTTCAGCTACAAGTTGAAAAAAAGAGTAAAAGCAAGTGAACGCGATATTTAAAGATGTAGAAATTCGAGAAATATTCCATTCAAGATATTGCATATACAATCTTAAGACTGGCTTTTGATATGTTCTGCTGAAAAGTAGAAAATAATTTGGAAAATTGTCTTTTCTAGAGTGCCGTTTACAATATGTATTGTATGTTATCAAAAATACATTCTTGAAACTTTTGGCAAAATATCTCCATGACCCCCCCCCTCCTCCGCAATTGTGATAGGACTAGCCACATATCATATTATACAGGGTATATCCATATGTAACACAAAATATGTGCCTTTTTGTTGCTTGAAATTTGGGTTGAAATACCAGGTGGCTTTTAGTTGCTTGCGTACAAAATGGCTCATTAGTTGGAGTATACATTCCATGGGTACATATAGCTCAATATCCTGAAACATTTCAAGATAGTTGGAATACGACAAAAGCCATTTTTTAGTATTGTATAGGATTATTGTTATGTGCCTTGTGAGCTGTAGTGCCCTGTTGTGTCCGTATAGTGACAAAGCTAAAATAATACAATCAAGTTTGAAGGACCACAATTTTTAAACCGCACATCGCTTTTCAAGATTTTAAAAGGCATCAGGTAGGGCATAACTTGCAGTACAATTTTCTATGCTGAAAGTGGAAAAATTATGTCACTTGAAAAATTGGCCTAAGTGTAACACCCTGGTACATACTACTTGAAATAGCCAAAAAAAACTAGTAGCAAGCACCAACACACTAAATTCTCACCTGTAACATATGCCAAGAGTATCAAAATGGCCACTTCAATCACAAGGCCGACGGCTTTCCACAACGTTTTGCGTATTTTGCAGCATTTTGTCTTCTTAGTCTTGGTACCGATTGCACCGTACGCTTCATTACTTCCGCTTAAACCTATAAAACAACACGCATCTCCATTGCTAACTCCAAGAGACTACAACAACCAATAACAACATGCATGTAGATTCAAAGAATTTACAGGATCTATACTAGCGCTAGGTCAAAAACCAGTTGTAAGCCACTGTACATGATTTTGGAAACAATAAGACCATTCAGTTTGTATTGACTACCTTTCGTCAGTGACACTGGAGAATTAATTCCTCAATAAAGCAAGTTAATAACTTAAAGCAAGAACAATTGATTGGTATGAAAATAAGTAAAGGCAAATAAAAAATTCATTTTTATTGACTTATTGTAGTCAATGCTACCTAAAGTTCTGACCGTTTCGAAAATCATAGTTGCTTGTATTGAGTAACTTTTAGTGCGTAACTTATTACTTGAATGCCTATCCTTCAGCAACATGTTCTAACGTAAGTAATCCTCAAGGTTTGGACACGTAAGATATCCATGATTTTCGTCCTTGAAGACACCTGATACCAACTGTTTGTTATCAATGCGTAGGTGTCATGGCATTGAATGTAGACATATTAAAAGATGAAACGTTGTGTTGTTCAAAGTAAAACTAGTACAAACACTCCCTTTTATTTTACAGACCTTTGTAGGACGTCGTAGGGGACTAGGTATTTAATCAGTAATCGTGATTACCTATAGCTAGTTATCTGCCACGTATTCAACAACGTAGATTTTTCCACAGGTATGGTTCTGGATACCCCAATGGGTTCTGGCTAAAACACGGTTCTAAATGCAACATGGGGTTCTTATTACAATAAGGCTGTTGATTTTATTATATGGGTGACATTCGCGCGCGCATGAACTTTTGTCCGTTTTCCCCGAAGACATTTTTTAGAAAATGAGAAAATATATGCAACCAATTGCAAACAAAATTAAAGAAGATAAAAATGTCGTCGAATATCAAAATCAATTCGAAAGCAAACGGATTTTTTTTTAATTCGCCATACAATGTTTAGTCTTTTGTTTAACCTTCCACGTACGTTTTGTACTGAAGGCAACTTTTTGCCAAAGTAAAATTTCAAAAATTACACGCTCGCATCCGTTTCTGAGTTCCTAGATGGTGTCCATACAATCAAATCTACATGACCTATGCAAAACAAGAATTTGGAGATATCAAACCTCCATGAAAAATGTGAGTTTTTGTAAATGTGTTTATTAATTACAAAGTACACTACACTACAGTACATAATAAAAATAACACTGGTTTTTGCCCTGAAATAGGCCAGGCTGTCAACTCAGTACATGTAGCCTATTCCATAGGGACCTCATCAATCAAACCTGGGAAGGCGCGATGCCTGACCACACGTGTTTTGCATTAAAGCGGCACATCTGTTTCCCTCAAAACACAAAGGTTCTGCTGCAGTACCAAGATCAGCCACCAGGAGGCCCATATCTAACCTTGACCTTCGGCTTCCTAAGACCTACCAGCATACTAAATATCATCACAATCCATAAAGGCATTCTGAAGTCATGCTGACTACAAATGTGCGAACACACACACCCACACACATGCCAAAAACAATACCTCCATTTTTCATGGAGGTAATCATGACTTACCTACTCCAGCAACATAAAGACAGTTGGGTGTGGTCGCGGTAATGTCGGCAATGTGCGTCCAGTCAGTCTGAGACTGATCCATATCTATGCAGCCTGGCGACCAACAATATCAGAAATAATGTTTTACAAGCCTGTTCAATAATTTAAAAATGAATTATTGCAGCTACAATATTTGGACAATATAAGGATCTAATATTCTGGTCATTTTTAAAAAGGTAAGTGGAATTAAACCTACCCCATTGCGACTAAGTGCCATTCAAGTGGAGGAAACAAAATATGACATCTCACAAGTATGTTTAAGATCTGGAAACACAGCTGTCAGCCATGTTGTTTACATTTTTGTAGTTTATACCAAAACTGTCAACACAAACACAATGAAATTCTGTTGTTGAAATGAAAATTATTAAATTTAGCAAAATATGCCTGTCAGAAACCCGTTGCCATGGCAACACCAAAAATCACAATTTTATTCCATCGATACAGATTTGTTGCCAACAATATTTCAGGAAAAGTCAGCAAGTTTGGCAGTTTTAGCTTTAGCCGTTCAGACGCTATGTGACATCAAAGTTGGCGCGAGCACTTTTAGCCCCCCCCCCCAGTCTAGATAGGGTTAAATAAAAAATAAAGATTTTTGCATAGAGTCTATTACCCTTTTAAATTGTAATGTAAGAACATTTATATAGATAAATACAAGATATTGATAAATAAATACAAGATATTGATATAATATTTTGTGTCAATATTGCGTGCTAGTGTCGTTAATGTCAAGGACATTATATACAGAATGTCCTTGTTAATGTCCATATGAGATACACCTAATCATATTAGATCAATATGACCAGATATAACATTCCATAAGATTGATCAAAACTTTACATGGCAGCACATATTACCAAGGTAAAAAAAATAAAACTAAAAAGTTTAATTAACACATTTTCTTCTTATTGCACTGTAGTACTTTAGTTTGCATTACATACTGATTAATCGCTTGGATGTTTCAAAATCAGGACGTTGTCATTTCCAACTCTGTTCGTTATATAATTACCTAACATTTATTTTTGTTTCTAGACCACAATGTAACAGAATGTATCTTCAAATCATTTTTTTCTTTTTTTCCTTACTCGAAAACGATAAACAATTTTTTGGCACTTAAAAGCCACAGGTATACATTTTAAAAATATATCAAACAATGTATTAGTAAAGCCTCGGTCACAACCCGCCGTGCGTGCTTTTTGTCCGTACGTTTTTTGGAGGCTATGTCTGCTAGGTTTTTTTTTTTGAAAACGTGGGGAAGGAGTGGTGTCGACGCACGGTTGCGCAAGGTGTAAAAGTGTGGCCTGCACGCCACGTCTGGCCGTGAGCGGTTGCGTGCATCGTTTGTTTGTGTATTTGTTTATTTAGATCTCCATTAGTATGGAAGTCAACTCCATACTATTCTTCCTGGAGTCCATCGTACGTTGCGCAAGTGGTAAGTGAGTTGTACGTGCTTACAACGTACGATCTCTGTGCGATTGCAACTTTACCGTAAGGAAGCCGTACTCACACGTACTTCTTCCGTACGGCACGTATACGTACGGGGCACGCGCGTCTCCCGTACTCGCACGCACGGGTGGTGAATCCGCAGACCGCACGCAGAAAAAGTTTTACATGCACTTGAAGTTCTACGGCGTGCCTGCGTGCTCCCAAATCCGTACGATTCCATACAAAAGCGGTACTCACCACGCACGGATGCCGTACGTTTGCCCACGTTTTTGCATGTAGACAGCACGCAGAAGCACGTACGGTGGGTTGTGACCGAAGCTTGAATCGTTTCTGAGGCAAACGTAGACAGGAAAGAAACCTAGAAAACTAAAGAAAAAACGTACCTTTTTCTCCACCTCTCTGCTGTTGTTTTCCATCAGACATGATGCCACTTGTCAGGCAAGAGGACAGCAAAGAAATACGTCTTTCTCGAGCTCGAGGCGAGTTGTTTGTCGACTGTAAATTAGTCTGTATTTCAGGAAGTATAACCGTGTGTGGGAGTAACACACCGGCTTTACAAGCTTAGCGTAAGATCTAAAGTATTTTTTTTTTAATTTCCCTAGAAAAGATTAGATCAAAAAGGGAAGGATTTCGCGTGAGGCTCTGATGTCAATGCCGCACAGTTGAG